CTCCTTTGTTGAATTTAAATGTTTTGAGGGTAGCACCTCACTTTGTTTCCCAAAATGTTATATATTTGGAATATTTTTTTCTTTGTTTTTAGTCATTTATTTTTAAAAAAGCCTGTTTACTTTAATTGTTAAAATCTTTACTTCTCCAACATCTGTGTAATGTAATTTAATTTTAAATGTTGACATTTTGTTTCATTCAACCTCATTAGCTGCTTCTACTGTAAAAAAAACAGAGGAAGTGAATTGTTCTGGTTGTCAAAGTTATTTATTTCGTCATCGTCTTCCAACGAAGAATATTTAGATCTTTTATCGTTCTTCCCCATTTTCAAATTTTTAGATGTTGATGTAGGTAGTTTATGTAATTGTAATTGTAATGGTATCAAGACGGAACTTCGGCCTCGAGGCCACGCTACCGAAGTAGCAATATTTAAACAGTTCGGGGTAGACTGGTATTTGTTATTATCTAACAGCTTCACAAAACTAAAATAAAACAGAAACGCAAATTCGGCAAAAAAGTAACTTTAATCAGAGGACGGATCAATTTTAGAACTATCTATTATCGCTCACACCCATGAATGAAACGTAGATGTAAAACAAAGTAAACAGAACTATGGAAAGTCATATTTAAAATACTTAACAACAAGAATTTTTAGTGATCCAAGAAGACTAAGTCTGTGACAGGACCACTCTGGGACTCTTTTAATATCCTATTTTTGCCAAGTTTGCTTTAAAGTTAATAGTTGTTTCTACGCATATTATTTCATCTCCAAGTTTGTTGCACTTGTTGACAACTCTGCAGCTGAATAATTTTTGCTTTATTGATCACGAGCTTTTTTAAAGATCTTATATTTATGCTTCTTTGTTTTACAATCATCCTAAGCTCAAAAAATGTCACTGAATCCAAATTCTCCTTCATAGTGATGATTTTGTACGCCTGAATCAAATCTCCTCTTGTTCTTCGTTTTATAAAGTTGTCAATCCACTAACTTTTAATCTGTCTTCATATGGCATACCGCGACACTCCTTTATCATTCTCGTTGCCCTCCTTTGAATATTCTCGAGCATATGTTTGTCTTTTTGTAAATCTGGATTCCAAACACAGTACTCCAACTTAGGTCAAACCAATCCTTTATATAGGTTAAATATGACGATCATGTCTCTGCTTTTTACTGTTCTTTTTATCATTCCCAGAGTCCTGTATGCACTTTTAGCTGCTTGGATGCATTGCCGGGCTACCTTACCATCCGATGAATTATCGCCATTATATTCCTTTCCTCTTCTACATTTTTCAGTAGTGTATCTCCAAGTTTGAATACGCTTGCCGTGTTGTTCGCTACCATATGTATGACTGCACGTTTGTTTGCGTTGAATACCATCTGCCAATCTTCAGCCCATTTGCATATTTTTTGTAAATCGCATGTTAGAATTTTATTATCTTTATCGTTGTCTACAACAGCACATAATCTAGTTCCATGTTAAAATGTATTAAAAACACAAATTTATATAAAATCTCAACAATAAACTTTTATTATTTGGGCTTAAATATGGCGCATTTTATTAAAAAATTAACTAAATAGCCTAAAATTGAATTTAATCCAGACTTATGGAAAGTCATAAGAAGCTCCAGAAAAACAATCACATGCTTGAATGCAATCTCCTCGATGCGGTATATCTTCTAAAACGATGTGAACTGTATTAATAGTAATAATAGTGATACTCCACAGGTAGAAAAACTTTCTGAAGAAAAACGTGTTTTACAAGAAGATGTTCGATTGTTAACAATTCAACTGTTAGATGCTAAACACAAAATTTATGAAGTCACAGAAAAATTGGTTTGTATTTTTATTAGTTTGGATATAATTCAATTTTGTTAAACTGATATTTTATTTTTATAGTTTTGTTATTGCTGTGTCTTTTCTTCATCATCTTCATCAACTTGCAATTTGCCTTGAGTGTTTATACTTTTGAACCAGTGCCGCTGAGATCATTGCTGTGAGACCGACAGTTCAACTCTGTTATTTATACTGCGTTTCTACTTTTACTTACACTCTTTCTATCTAATATAAGTAAATAATTCGGAGACTTGAAGTTTACACTTATTAGGTCACCTTATCCAAAATATACAAGGCATGAGCAAAAAAGGAAAAGGAAGAGCCGAATTAATCTTCTCAATCAAAGATAACTATAAATATTTGATAAGCTACTAATGAACCAAAACGTGAAAAATTCTGAAATTGAGATTTTAAATAATAAAAAGAAACAATATAATAGAAATTCTAAACATTTATACCCCTATTTATAATAATGAAATAAGAAAAATGATTTAAAGAATCAGGTTATGAAAAAATTTTCTTAAACAAAGTGATTTGATAGTTGTACCGAAAGCGAATTGAAGCGGAAATACATAATAAATTTAAAAATTATTTACGAGGTTAAAAAGTCAACTTCTTGTTCATGTGTACAAGAAAATCGGCTCAAATGTAGTACCACACATGTCATGGGAAAATTTAAGTTACCTCGGTGTAATCACAGGAATGTTGGTGGTCGACTTGGATGGAATCAAATCTTTCATTTTACCTCTATGTAGAGGTTTTATATTTTTTAAAATGGAAAATGCATAGATATTTTTAGCTCTGTTTTATCAAACTTCGAATCTGTTTTAGATAGATTTATTGAAGGACAATAATGATAACAAGTAACTGTGGGTTAAAAACATGAGGTCTGATAAATTCTGTTTATTTAGAAAATTCCTATCAATAGTTTTGTAAAGGCCGAGTATGAATTTTTTAAAATCGTTCAAGTTGACAGAATGACCGGTATATATAAATATATATATATATATATATAATATGTGTGTGTTTGTGTGTGTGTGTGCGCGCGTGCGTGTATATTAGGGCTGTTTCGGGTTCGGCTTTTCAAATCTGGCCGGGCGGATTTACATGCACAAATCTGGATTTAAGCATTTTTTTAAATTTTATTGTATAATTTGTAACTAGCTACTTGCCTACACTAGTCATGCCCAAAATAAAATTATGTTATATTACATCCCTATCGATTATCTTAGAAATTAATTTTAATTTATTAAAAATTAAATTAAAATTACTTTATTGATTTCTGTTAAAACTAATACATACAGATGTTATATATTTTCCTTTTTCTGAGGAATATCTATCAGAGAATAATAATATTTATGCAGTTCTAACATACCAAGAACTGCTTACATCATATTCTATGTGTACAGTTGACTAAAAATGCAGTTGTGATTATATTAACTTTTCAATTACCAGTACTCACCTTTTTCCTAGGGCGGATCTTTTACTTGACCTATCATTAATTAGTTGTTAATATTTCTTCGAAATATTTTTAGTTTGTGTTGGTTGATAAATTATTTTTAATAACAAAAATAACAGTTGTTTAGTGACGCTCATGCTGAAAGCAACGGCAACGTCTGTAAAAAAGGTTTAGCGTTGAGTGAGAAAACGTCAAAGAAATCTCCGGTTCATCAGCAAGCAAGATTTCCTATCTCTACTTTCCCGCCTACTGCAATCTGTTATTCATCTTCCGAATCTAAATTGTATGAGATGGCAAATGATTATAAAGCCGGCAGTTTAATAAAATCGGATTCCATTACGCTGAATGGTGAAAGTACGACACACATCTCTTTCTTAGATGAAATATCAACAGCAGGAAATATTCCAGAGTCAACTGATTTCAATTATAATTTCCAAACAGAAAGATTAAAAATCCATCATGTTTGATTGTTAATATCGTACCAGTTGTAATTTTGCAATAAAATAAGTTGTAAAATAACTTTTCCTTGTTCGTTTTTTTTCAAGCTCATGTTGCGGTCAATTTCTCGCCTGTTTTCGTAGTATGTACGAATAGGACGGTTAATGTGCGTCGAGAACAAATGCATTTTATTTGGCCCAAATATGGTGATGTTAAATATTCAAAATAAGTAAACTTGTAATGCAGAAATTTCACATTCATTCTTCTACACGAGAAAAAACTGAAAAAGAAATAAAACCTAGTACTAACTTAACGTGTTTGCAAAATCTTACTAAAGAATCAAAATGGTTTAGAAGGAAAGCAGAGTGAAAGATAGCGATAGAGTAGTCTCGATTCCGTCATGAATATGTAACAAGAGAACGGATCGCTAATCTCATGATACGTTTACAGAAGGCACCATCATCTATGACTTATGTACATTTGTTTTAAGTTTTCTAAGTCTCCGGAGCTGCTTACTTGACAGTTTGAGCAAAAAGTGCATCGAGAAAGTTTAAAGACGCCAATTGTAATTTAAATTTAACAATACTAAACGTCGTCTGATCGACTACTATTGTCTGGTTTTGAGAATGATGGTGTTGATACTTCTATTATATATATATATATATATATATATATATGCGATATATATATATGTATATATAATCAGTGGCAGATCTAGACAACTGACGGAGCCAAAATTTTGGAAACCATTGGATAATTCGTACGGGGGCAGGCCAAAATTAGTGAATATTGTCAGATGGAATTTTTAATAATTATGATGTATGTGCATAGTGTATGTATGTCTCAGTTAATCAGATATTGTTTCTGCCAACTCCGACGAATAGTCGTTTATTATTTTATTGTAATCGGTTTTTCAAAGCGAGTTTTACAATTTTTTTTATGTTTTAGTCTGCTTTGCTTACACTCTAGAAATAACCAGGGTTCAGCTGGAAATTTTAAAGTTTTAGCCGTCAAATGGAGGTGGAATGTAATGACTATATCGATAAAAAAGCAACTTCTGCTTTAATTGAGAAAAAAAACGAAAGATCAGGGTTAGGCCTTGGTTGCTTGAATACGGTTAAAGACGTTAAGATATTTTTTGATTGTTTAAAATTTTACGACGTATCAGCTCGATTTCGACTATTAGCGCCTGATATTTATTATGTTTTTTATAGATATTCATTACATTTGAATCTTTAATAACATTTATAAGGCTGATAGATAAAGTTTAAAAATGAACTTATCAATTTATTTAAAACACAACTTTCAAAGTGACGTTTAAAATAATATTGTTATTTTAAAGTTTTATTACTCATGATCTCGTAATAAATAAGACAAAAGCTAGAACGATAAAACTATTAATGTCGCATCTAAATTAAAAAAAATTTAATTGAAAGTTCAGCCATCATAAAAATTTTAATAATTATTGCAATTATAATATCAAGTTCCACGATGCATGGATTTAGCCACAATCGTCTCCATCACCCCACCAATAATCCGATTGCTTCTTTTTTACCCACGAGACCAGAACACAAGCAAGAACCAGGTCTATAATCTGATCAATTTGTAATATTCGAAATGAGTTTTTACTTTTAAAAATATTCAAGCTCATGGAAGTGTAATCCAACAACCCGTATATATTAATATACATATATAGAATATCAATGTATAACATTAAGCAGCCGAATATAATAGTATAAAGCGTGCCGTACTAATTCAGAACTAATTGTGAAAAGCGTAGATTGTAGATTAACAAACGTTCAAATTTTAACTTTGTACACGTTGTACAAAGTAATAAACTTTACTGCTTTTTACGAAAAATTAATATAGCATATTTATAAGATATAACTTCCAAAATTAGTTAAACGTTTATTAGAATGTTTAGAACATTAATTGGCCTAAAAAAACAGAAAAATATAATAATAGTTATAATAAGAGAAGAAAAGACGTATGCTAAAAAATTTTTTCAAACCCTAAAGATCTAGTAAAATTTATGTAGACGAAGATATCAAAATTATTACGGTACACTTTTGCGTGGTATATGTAACGATAATAAGAAATTTCATATTTGTTATATATATGCTAACCATAATGTTTTATACTGTTTTATATTCCAATAACGTTTTGTTGCTGGAAGCACGAGAAACAAGGACGTCAAATAAATATCTATTATTTATTACTAAAATCATTTGGGCTATAGCTTGTGCCAATCACCGAAAACATCACAAAAATATCATTAAGTCGGAGGAAGAAGCTCTCTTATGTTTTCGATCGTTTTGCACATATCGAATCCACAAGGATATTTAAAAAATGAAAGACTCAATTATTAGCTCATTTATACTTTTGTATTAGGTTTTGATTTGTTATGAAGCTAGTTAAAAGTATAAAATAGTAGCCTACCATTTGAAAAAATTTTTGCTGAGTATTTGTAATAAAAAGCACTATTTGTTTGAAATGGAAATAAATTGTGAGATATCTTTTGATGAATCCTCTAAAATTGTTGACAAATGAACAGTGAGAATACCCAAAATCTTAATAAATTGAAATCTGCTTAAAAAATGACTACATCCATAATTACCACCAAAAATCCAAATAAATTGAAATCCGCTTAAAAGATTACTACATTTTAAAAATATAAATTGATAGAAATATGCTTTTAAAACATTTAAAAAATGTTTATAAACTGTTATTAATATTTTAAACATTGAAATCTGAAATTTGTGTCACATATTCATCATCACCCTCATAACAAACCTACTTTACAAACGTTATATTATTGCTCCAATAATAAGTTTTATAGGCTCTTGTTGAAAGTAAAAGCTATGAATTTTTCAATATATCACATCATTCAAGCTTTTGAAAGTTGTTTATAGATGGACTAAATGTACCGTCAACTATTCGATAGAGTAACATTTAGTAAATTATTTGAAATAGAATTCAATGGACAATAAGTTGTATGTAACCCACCTGGATGCAGATTAAGATAACCATGGTGATGGTGATTGTTTTCATTTGACCGTTCAATATGTTTTGTATAACATCAAAACACCCCTACAATTATGTAACATAATTAAAATGTTTTTCAAAAGTATGCACTAGGAGTATCTTGTTAAAATAGAAGAATGATTAATTATACATAATTAATTTTTATTGGACGACCAGATGGTTTAGATGAAGGTCAATAGGGTACTTATTTCTTCTGATTAAAAATTGGATTTAACTACCAAAAAAATAAATTATAAAAAATTAAAAATAAATTGACGACATCTGAAAATTTTAATAATTGTAATTATAACGTCGGCAAATTTTATCATATAACTAAATTATGAACGTCAAAGAAGACCACCCAAAGTTGATACTTCTTGCGGTTGTCGGAGATTATAACCTATGTGTATATAACTTTTTTTAAATTTTTCCATAGAAAGTCCAGGTCTTATAGACAACACTCATGTCAACATGACCATGTATACGGATCGTACTATCGGAGCCGACTGACCGGATACTACATTCTTGATGTGCCATTTGATTGATCTCCAAAGACACGAATGTTCTCAAAAAAGTTGAAAGACTGAGCTAGTGGTCGAGATATTATCATGTATGCGAAACACAAAATCACGCGTTATTCCGATAGCAATAGGCGCTTTAGGAACGATACGATAGAGAATGTATGAATAAGAGTCGTCGTGTATAAAATAAATAGTGACTATTATTAATTCAGTTTTCTATGTGAATAAATATCAACGGCTTTTAAAATTATTTAGCATCCCAATAATTCTCTACATTTGCTGCGCATGTTACATAGGTAAAACTCAAAAATACTATGACATTTATTAGTAAATTGTAATATGTAACCTGTGTGTGTATGGTCCCTAAAGAATCTTTCGGAGGTCTTGGATGTAAAACTGCTTCTGCTTGACACATTTGGTACTCGCTAACTTGGCGTTTGATCTGGTAGTTTTTCATGATGTTTCTACTGTTAACAGAATGGTTAATAATCACTCCAGTACAACAAGACGTTGGAACAAATTCGCCGAATGAATCTTTGTTGTGCAGTTGCCAAGACGAATTTATAAAATCCTTTGGGCCTTGAACACCACAACAACTCAACTGTAATTAAAAATATCAAAGTTAATGCATATAATTAACCATTATGCTCGGGCGGCGTGATGACCTTGGTGCTGTTTCACAGTGTGCGTGCAGTAATCTGGTTCGATGCGAATATGACAAAAGAAAACCCTGCCTATCCCATATTTCGTGTGTGATGCATCGTTTAGCATGTTTTCATATACGATGTTTGTGGCGTATTGTTGATTTCTCTGAACCTAGGAACCAAATAGACTTTAAACCTTTTTTTTTAAGTTTAACATTTAAATTTTCCATAAACAAAAGATAAAACGAAAAATGTTTTTTCAATTTAGAATTCATTTGTGGAATTTTGTCGTGGAAAAAGCCTATCTCTCTTTTTAGTCATAAAACTGCGTGAGGAATCATATTTAAATACAATAAATAAAGTATTAATAAACAAACTAAAAAAAAATTAATGTGAAATTCTGATGCAAAAGTTGTAAATTTTTTTTGCATGTTGGAACCCGGGATTTGGAATCAGAAATTCTTATCCGGAGTCAGAAATTTTTTATGGAGCCGTAGTCGAAATTTTTAAAGAGCCTGAGCTCGGATATATATATATATATATATATATATATATATATATATATATATATATATATATGTGTGTGTGTGCGCAGTGACAGATGTAGGGTGGTGGTGCCGGGAAGACCAGTGCCTTCCCCATTTTGAGCAGAAAAAGAACCGAAAATTGGACGTGATATGCAAAAAAACAAATTGTGGGCCACCCGTGAAAATTTTTGCCTTCCCGTATAAATGTGAACGTTTTCAAAATTTTGCCTTTCCGTATAAATGTGAACGTTTTCAAAATTTTGGCCCCCGGTCAAAGTTTTCTAGATCTACCACTGTGCGTGTGTGCGTGTTTGTGTGTGTATGTATGTGTGTGAGTGTATGTGCAAATGTTAGCTTAAAATTAAGATAGTGATCCTAAAAAAGTAACTTGATTTGATTTACACAAAGCCAATCTTCTTTGCTACTTTGACATTATAAGAATAACAAATGCAAAATCGATCCGAGGAAATCGTATAGTTCGCCATCTCCAACCAATATACTCATTTTTCTTCTTCTTTATATTTTTTATTATTAGTCCTTCTAGTTTAGCGCATAGAACTGTTGTTAGATATTATAATGTAATAAAAAAGAAACGAAAAATAGAACAAATGTTCAAGTGCGATTGCGCTGACAAATTTAAAAAAATACAATGAATATATTATATAATTTAAAAAAGCAAATTTGTATATTTTGCATAATACAAAAATTAATGTTTTCCATTACATAAAAGTCTGACTGCACACCATTGTGTATATTGTTGTTCATTTTTCCTCAATAGAGATAATGACTTTTTCTATTCAGCGTTGCGTGAAATTGAATTTTACTCTCACTTTTCGTTATCTCAAATTTTCATTATCTCTCATACGCTGTTTTTATAATTGAAGGCATACTTTCAACAAAAATTTATAGTTTAAAAATAATTGCAATTGTTTAAATTAGTTTTAAGAATATTAATTTAATTAAGAAATATAATTTTAAAAAATTATAGACCCTCAAAAAGGTATTTACTAACAAAAACGGATAACACTCAGGATAATCAAGATAATAATCGAAGAAATCGTTTTCATAGTACCAAAAAATAGTTCTATTTCGGTAAATTTTGATTTATCAAAACGTTGACATGACGTACGTTTGTTTCGTTAAAATCATTTGTTGTTATTTTTACAAAATTATTTTTTATTAAACAAAATTTAATTACATAGTTTTTTTTAACTTTGTTTAACCTGATTATCTCCTAACCATAACTTTAGATTTTTGTATAAAAATAACGTGTTACTCTGAGAGGAACCGCTTAGTCGGACCACTTTGGCCAAGTCACAATGTCGTCCGATTAACCAACTTCTACTGCAGTTGTAAAGTAGTAGCAATTACACTTTTATTATCTTATAGCTGTTGTTTTTTAAACATGCTTTTAACAGAATTCCTAACTCGGTGAATTACTTAAAAAAAATGGCGTCATACTTCCCGTCGTCAAATATGAACTAATTTTATAAACTTTTAACTAACTTTTTTATGCAGGTAATCCCAAGCCATCGTGACTTGCAGTATGTCAGAAGAAGTTTCATTGGCTGAGGAAGCGGTTTTGTTGTATTGATTGGTTACTTGATATGTCAAACTTGAGTGCATTTGGTGAGAAAACTATGTGAATATTAAGTTACTTGTATATATTTTAATAATAAAAACGGATGATAAACTTATTAAACAAAAATTACAAACAATTGCATGTACCAATATACACCTGTAAATTGTTTAATACTGAAAAACAAAAAAAGTAATTATTAAATTTTAAAAGTTTTATAACTGTTTGTTGTTGTATTGCTTGTTAGTTTATTGAGAGGAAACCATATATAAACCAAGTGAACAAATTTCACTGAGTAATGGTGTAGTCTACAACTTTCTGCTAAATGTACGATAAGTAAATAGGCTCTCCTCTCTTTCAAATTATCAAGCGACACAACAGCAAACAGATAAAAAATTTTAAAAACTAAATTAGCATTTTGTCTTCTTTGACAGGAGGAAAGATCATTCTACTTTATTGGATGTCTACCACCCAGCTAAAACTGGGTAGTTTTCAACAAGTTAGGTTCCGTTTACAGTATCTTGCCTGCCTCACTGGGTGCGTACAAATCAAAGAGGCATCTCTCGATAAGTAGACAACGAAACACTTACACCAGCCACCAAAGACGCAAAAAACGTTTCTAGATAGTAGTAGTAGCAGAAACAACTACAAAAGACGCAGTAGTAGTAATATTAGCGTAATAGTAGTAGTAGCAGTAGTAGTAGTATTAGCAAAACATCAGAACCATGTGTTCCTGACTCATACAATTCAACGATGTAAGAAAAACAGGCGTCATAGACAGAAAGCTTTCACAATTTGTCGTTGACATTGCAGCTCTACAAAAAAATCCGGCTTGCTGAAAACGGAGTCATCTGAAAAGCTAAATACACCTTCTATTGGCAAGGAGTGTCTTCAAATTCGAACCAACTAGCATAGGCAACATAGAGATGGCTTTGCCGTGAAGAATGCTGCTCTAAAAAGAACAAGACGAAAGCTATGGCAAAAACATCTTCAAAAAGCATCCGTTCACCTTTGTCACTCCGGACAGGACTACTTAGCTATTCTCGGCGGTACAGGTTGCCATAGCTACAACTATCCTCTAATGAGACGGATGTCGATTAAAGTTACTTTAATACAGATAAAAACACATTTAAATTATGCATTTAGTTTATAAAAATAAAATAAATTAATAAAATTTAAAACGCAATTATAACACACTTGGGTCCGTAAGGTTGTTAGCAAAATAACAAATGCCATTTCTGCCAAGATCATGAAACTCATGAGTATGGAATACTGCGTTAATAACATTGGTATCATATTATCAACATTGAAATTATACCGTCGTAGAAAAAACAATTATTGATGGCTTACACGCACGCGCACACATTCACAACACACACACTCATATATATATATATATATATATATATAAAATATTAAAAAATATATAAATTAAATATAAAATATAAATATTTATTTATTTATGCAGGATTGATAAAGTTGAATAATGAAGTAGCTCAGTGATTTGCAATTTAATGATACCTTCTTGCTATCATAATCGCTGCTATTTGATGTTTAATTGGACTGAAACAAGCAAGCAGCGGTTTTGGCAGTTTCAGTTTTATCATTGTTAACTGGCGCAAGACGTTCCTAAAATTTGCTGCAGTATTTAATTTTTCCTTCATGTATGAATTCAACGCGGCAATGATCTCCCGCCAGTCATATGACTTGTGAGGTGTTCGGATGGATGGAAGCTGACTTGGCTCGATGTTAAAAGTCTTAAATATCCCATGACGTTGATAGATCAGGTGAGAAGTGGATTTCATTATTTAATAAAGGTTTTGGTTTTACTGTTAATTATGTTTTAACATATAAACGCATTACTTCAACTAGTTGTTTTGTTAAGTGAATATCGATTATTGTGAAAACTAATTAATTATTATATCCTTCGTCTGTTAGCATCTGATTAACTCTCTTCAATTATTTGTCATATAACATCGAGTGCACGCAGTGGGTTCGCGCAAGAAACGACGATGCTTCTTTACATTTGAGGACTTACTTGTCGTCGGCAGTTTTCATGCAACTGCATTTTTAAAATTTTGATTCCTAGTTGGAACGCTCTACTTTGAGTTGAATTTCTAATTTACTTTAAAGTTACTGTTGTATCGTGTTTGATGTCTGTATAAGAAGCAAAGCTCGCCGTCTTCTTGCGATTAATCGTGTTATCGTTGCTACTTTTTAAAATTCCTAATCAGATAACATTTCAACAGCAATCAATTTTTAAACAGCAAAAAATATACTAACAAAACTTAGGAAGCAGACACTTTCCGTGCAAGCTCCACAATAGCCCAGGAAACCGGTAGAGCCGATGATGAATCCCAACCCAACCAACAAAAATGGAATTCGTTCGATGACCAGAAAGGTGTTTGTAGGGTTTGAGGTAAAAAGGTGAGACAGCAAGTACGAACTGTGGTTCACATGAAACCACATGCCGAAAAAAATCAGCAACCAGCCAAAACCCTGCGGACGTTTTTGCATGGTGTCATGAAACTGAATCTATCGTCATTAACATTTTATAAACGATAGCGATGATAATCACCATTCACCCAAAGTATTTGTGATAATTTCGCTCTTGAAATTATTTATTCTACAAGAAATATCATCAAATCGGCAAAGAAGGGATATTTTAATTTTTTTAAATGTTTGCGCGATTGTAAATAAATAAACTATACATATTCGTTTTTATCCTACTTCCAAAATAATCAAGAAAAAGAAAAAAAAATTCAAACGACATTCCAATTGAAATATTTTAAAAAAATATTTGGCCTTTAATAACTTATGAAATAAAATAATATTACATTTTCTCGGTGATGGTGAAGAAATTCGCCTGTTCATAAAAGACGAATCTGCCGATCAACTAACAAATTTGATGTTTACTGCGGAAGTCTTTTTAAAACATAATATATCATGCTTTATTTTTGACAGCGCGAATTAGGAGCAAATGCCCGACGGAAGAAGCTCATGTAAAAATATCAGAAAAGAATTAAACGAAGATATCATCATCTACCGCGTTTCAGTTTTATTGAAATCGTTACCCTACTACCATTACATTGCAATCACAACTTCATACGTATCTGTAAAATTTGCATAAATGATGAATAAATAAGCAAATGATAAAACATAAGCACAGGCACGCATACACGCACAACACGCACACACATATATAAATATAAATATATATATATATATATATTGTTTACAAAATGGCGACAAGACAGGTCGTTGCTAACGAAGTCCTGTACTTTTTGTCAAATAACTTTGATTTATTTGATAATGATAATTTTATTGCTAACACGTCTGATTTTTATACTAATGAAGATTTCATATTTGCTTTGAAAACTTTGAAAACTGAATTGGAAACTCAAAATTTGGATAAATTAGACAAGCTAGTTGGTCGTGGCTGTACAAAAAAAAGAAAAACTCCTAGATTGTGTCTCAATTTTGAAATACTTGAAAAATAACAGTGTTTTAGAAAAATGTTCGTTATTTGCCAGTGTTAATCTGGCTAAAGTTCCTAATCTTGACAATATAATTAAAGTTAATTTCAAAAATTTGTAAAACGAAATTAAAGAAATGTTGTACGCTCAACAGATAAAAATTGTTAATGCAATAGACATGCAGGGCATTGAAATTTCAACATTGAACAACAAGATAAATTGTTTAGCGTCCAAACGAGATAACTATAATTTTGCCAGTCATTCGAGTAATATTTCGACGGCAATATTTCCGGAAAAAACAACATCGTAACTATGCCTAATCCAGCCAATTCAGCTACACTATGGTCAGATGTGTCAATCTCCATGAGAAGACAAAGCCCAAGTACAACGGTTGTTCGTAAAAATGAGGACTAATGGGTGTAGATCGCTTTTGGTTCATGCTCAC